ACCGTCTCTGGGCAAAAAATTCTTCGATATATAAATTAATTTTTTTTATTCATTTCCCTTTAGTATTCTTAGACATAAATTTAAACTCTAAATATTTATTCAATTTAGTAAATTTTGTTTAAGAAAATTTAATTTTATTATAAATTATTTTACAAAATTCTATAAAATAAAGCTTGTAATTTCGTTTTAGAATGCCGTGTCTTTTTCAATTTATTTTTAAATTCAAGAAAATATTTCTCTTAAATTTAAGATTAGGTCTATTTTAATAAATTTTGATTTGTAAAGTATTAAAATTATTTTTCTGAATTACTTTAAGCAAAAGTTTTCGTGTATTTCAAACTTCTTTAGTAATTTTGTGATTTCCGCTAGTATCTCAACGAGAAGTATACTCTTTCGGCTTCTTGCATTCTTTTATGCAAGCCTAGAATTCTAATTATCATTTTAATATATTATTAATTTAATATTTTAAGTTTGTTTCTTTTAGAATAATTTAATTTGAATTTTTTTATAAAATGACTGAAAGTTCATCAAATTATGCTTCTGAAGTTGAAGTAAAAAATTTTTTATTTATTAAAAATTTTGGTAATACTTTGGCTGACCATCCCCCTTTTTCCTTTCTTTTTCTTCAATTTTTTTTTCATATTTTATGGAAAATTATAATTCAATAGAAAAAATAGAAAGTTTAACGAAATCTGACTTAAATGAACAAGATTATGATAAGTTGTTTTAATCCCTTGAAGCGGCACAAAACCCTTTTCCAATGAGGATTTAGCTTCATAATTTTGTTTATAATCATCAAATCGAGCCGATACTGGTATCGTTTGAACAGCTCGAAGAGTTATGATATATAATAAATTATGTATCAGAGGTGGGTCGGAATTCCGATTTCCGAAAAAAGATTTGATTTCCGATTTCCGAGTTCCGACTTTTGAGCCAGTTCCGATTCCCGGATTTTTTGATTTCCGACACCTCGGACTGTTCCGACATCCTCTGTTATGTATCAAGGCAAAAAGCTCAAAATGTTCAGGGAAACTAGAAAAAAGGGAGATGGTCAGCCAAACTATTACAAAAAATTTTTTAAAGTTAAATAAGCAAATTGATGATTTGATAAAACAACATAGTGAATTTAAACAATTACAAATAAAGTTTAAAGAGGAGAATCAAAAGAATGTTAATCTTGAAAAGAAAAATATTTTTTTAGAAAATGAATTGAAAGAAACGGATAAAGTTTTTGTATTTTTAAAATTAAATTATTTAATTTAATTTTAGAAAATTGATAAAATAAAGTTAGATTATGAAAATGAAATTAAGGAATTAAAACAAAATATTCAACAATTAAAATCTGAAAATGGGCAAAAAGACGAGAAAATAAATTTTTTGGAGGAAAAAATTAAAAAGGTAGATAATACTATTTTTGTTGAAATATGTATGGAAATAAAAATAAAATTAACTTCCTGTATCCTTTTGCGGATCTGTTCCCTTTTATGGCAAATTATAGATCATTCTAAAAAGCTCTTCAAGCTTAGTTGAATCAACATAATTTTTAGAGTCAACATAATTCAACAATAAAACAATTACGTCGAGTATTAAGCTTTATAATTTTGCTCTTTCCGATCATACCATTCGACACTATCGAAAAGCTCTTTAAATGATATATGATAAATTATAGATAAGGCAAAAAAACTCAAAATGGTTACCGATTTTACCAAAAACAATTTATTAAACACATGAGAAATTTTGAAAAAGGAATTTTAGGTTATTTTTTTAGGTTAAGAAAGAATTTTAGGTTAAGGAATTTTAGGAAGTATTTAATTTTAGGAATTTTTGTTAACTACATATAATTAAAAATATTTTTTCAATTAATCTATTTAAAAAGGTAAATGATTTAACTGAGAAAAAGTTTGTTGATTTAACAATTAAATTGAACAATTCGGTTTTTGAATATGTGGTTAGTTCATAATAAAATGAAGAATAATAATTAATATATTTTAAAGGATTTTGTTAAAATTAAAAATAAATGGGGAGAAATTGATGATCGATGGAATTGTTGTGACAATAAATGTATAAATATAAACAAACCAGTTGGTAATTGTATTAATGGAAATGGATATGCTAATTTAATTAATGATGAAAATATTAAATATATTAACCGTTTGGAGGATAAAGGTAGAATTTGAAGTACTTTTCCGTTATGCCACCTCCCCATAAATTGATATTAAAATGCCGTATAAGGTAATAAAAGATGCTGAGTCGAATAGTACTACTTTTTTTTTGGAGATGTCTACGGAAAGATATAGGGCTCGAAATGGTCAAAATCCATAGGGTGTTTTACGCTGATTCATAGGTTCACAATAAAATAAAATTTTAGGCTCTGATAATTTTACTGTTGTTTATGCAGAAAATTCATTTATAAAATTACAATGTTGTCTCAACTATTCTCTTTATTATTTTGAAATTAAATGTATTATGGAAAGAGAGAACTCGAATGTAAATTGGGTGACTATCGGTCTTAAAAGTTGTATTACAAATAAATGGATTAGATGTGTAGCTGAAGAAGTTTCAATTAGTAACGAGAAGGATGAGAAGTTTAAAATTGATCAGTTTACTTGGAATAATAATGATATTTTTGGTTGTGGATTAGTTTATCCTCCAACTAATAAAATGAGTAAAGAAATGCCTTATGTATTCTTTACACAAAATGGAAAATTAATTGGTAAATAATTAATTGAAATTAGGGTTCAATCACCGTCCCCGGGGGAGCAGGCCAAGGTATCGCAGCCCAAGGTACCGAGAGTCCTAGGTAACGCGACAAAAATTTTCTCAATTTCTGATGATGTTAAACAAGGGTGATGAGGAACAACTTTACCAAAGCCTTCATGGAACAAACCCCGTTAGTTTAACAACATTTCCTGGGATGCATTACTCTTTGTCGTAACAGATTTCTGTTCTCGCATGATTTGATCAGTAGTTCCCACTTTTTCAAAAACCACCGCAACCCCCCCCCCCCCCCCCCCTGACCTCGTGAAAACAGCCAACTGACCTTAAATACTCGTTTAAACCACGTGTTTCAATGAGATGTTGCTCTGTTGAAACAAACTTTGGAAGTGATTTAAAGACTAAACCATTCAAATACGATATCTTAACACATTTAATTCTTAAAGAATTTTATTGAAAATTTTGTTTTAATTTTATTCACTTTGATTTACAATTTAATTTTAAAGAAATTACTTTCCTGTTTTTATTGTTTATCTTGCCTAATGTTTTGAATAAATATTTAGATTTAAAAAATTTTAATAAAACAAAAACCGTATTCCGGATAATTTAGTAATTCATCCTCAATCTGAGTGCGTATTAACAGAGTGAGTAATTATACGAAGTTTAAAAGCATTTTATGGGGAGTAATATTACCCCACTAATTAATCGGTGTGGGGTAACTATTAAAGGGAGGTCAATTAATATACCTAAATATATTATATTTGTATTACTAACTATATTAATAATCAGTAGTGTAAAACCCTGATTAAGAGCAAAAAATTATTAGAATACGAACTAATTTGCCCTATAATTTTCAAATTATTCCCTAAATAAATGTTAAAAACTTTAATATTTATTTAACTTGATAAATTCAAATATTAATTTTCAATTTTCTGTCAATACATATTGATAATTTTTTAAACTTAAAAAAATTATGGACAGTCTCCCCACTATATTTTTCCGCCAATTTAAAAAGGGCACATGTAAAATCTTTAAAAATATTCAACGTGTTAATATATAGAGAATGAAGTAAGGAGGGAGAGGTATTGCTTGGCAATGTAGGGAGGGAGAGAGGATACCTCTCTCCCTCCCTCCCTACATTCCTCTCTCCCTCCCTACATCCCTCTCCCTTACGCTTAGAATGAGAGGCATTGCCCAATTCACTTACTATTGCCAATTTGCTTTTAAAAATTATTTAAAACTTAAACAATATTTAAATAATTAATAAATATTTTATATAATTTTTATTTTTTATTTTAAATAAACTTTTTCTATTTATATATTATTTTAATTTAGAAAATGTATTATTTTAAATTAATTTTTTACATTTTCTTGTTAATTTTTATTAACGTATCTGTTGAGAAAACTAAAGGAAAAAGGAATAATTTATTATTCCACCGTCGTTGCAAAAGAGGGAATAATTTTGGGTGTTTTGGAGGTGGAAGTAGGTCTAATCAACCATTAAGACAACGTGAAGGAAAGGCACATGTACAGCAAGGAAGGGAATCTAAAAGAAGAAATTCAAAAAGGGCTTTGTATATTTTCGATAACTTTTTCTACTCTCACGTTCAATTACATGTAAATATTTTTTAAATTCATCTAAAAATTGACTTGATCTACCCCAGCTAAACAAAACTTATAACTAAGTTTATGAATGTCGGATCTAGCTTGGTATAATATATATACTCCTCGTCAGGCTTCACAAATAGACACGAGGATGCCCCCCCCCCGTGTCGATCAACCTCTTCGTGTCGATCAACTCTTTTCATAAGCAGTATCTTAAGAATTTGTTTTTTCAGAGTATCCATGAGATTCCTCCAAGCTTCTACCTTAATAAATAAAAATTTCAGTTAATGCTTGCTAAGACGTTGTCTGAACACTACGTTGTTGTGAGTTATTCAAATAAAAACTTTACATAAATTGGGATTGATCAAACATCCACTTGCAGATCTTAACAATCTAAGTGATTTTGGTATTAGTTGAGAGGGGGGGGGGGTAGTGTCAGTAAAAAAACTTGATTTCAATTAAGAATTTTTATAAGACATATTTTTGGTGTTCTTAAGAGGAATTGGTTTGGCTCTAAATAAGCCAAATTGGCTCTGAATGAGCCAAGTCTAAATGATCTCTTTCTTTGGCTTAAAAATGGCTCTAAATTAAAAAAAGTATTTTAAAAATTAAAATAAATTATTTTATAGGATATAGTAGTTTATAGTAGAGCAAACGGTACCCCTATAGTGCTCAACCCAATGCCAAACAATTTACAAATTATTGAATTGAATATAGACCCAAAACGTTTGGACCAGGAAAAACCTGAAAAGGACCCTTATATTGCTTATAGAGGTTCAAGTGCATATATTGCTGGAATTTTTGAAGGTGAGATTTTAATTTTAAGATTTATTATTAAACAACCCTCAAGTCATATAAGATAATCGTACAGGCAGGCTATGGGGTTGGAAAGCCGAGGAGATCAGGGATTATCTGGGCTAGTCTCCAGCATTGTCTCCAATATTTCTACAGTGCTCCACATAACTATACTTCCACCCCCCCCCCTACTTTATTAATAATCTATACTAATATCAAAAATACCATGCGATCTACGCGCACCGGAATCTCGGACATCCTTGGCATTCTCGAGCAATATTTCTTCCTCAATGTGTCAAAAATACTAATGATTTTAATTTTAAGATTTATTAAACAACCCTCAAGTCATTATTGGAAATGAAAACATAGTATACATTCTTAATTATCTTCGCCAACAAAAATATTCTTTTGGAATCGCCGATTTTACTGAAACGGCTGGCTCTTTTGCTATTTTTGAATATTTGAGAATTAAAAAAACTTTTAATGTTTTTCCGTTTCTCATTCTTCCTAGTTCTCTTCAATTCCTTGGAATTAATCTTTTACAGATAATTAACGCTAGTTTTGTTATTCCAGGTAAATTTTAGGTGAAATTGTGTGGAAACTGAATAGGTATCGAAAAAACTGGATAAGCACACATTATCGGAATTTTGAACCTTGTATTCCTCATTTTTATTATCTCCTCAAATTTATGGCAATGCGAAATTTTTGAGAATTTTGGAAGGCCATGAGGACCGGAACTTTACAAACACGCCGGAACGGAACCAAAAATCCCGGAACTTCCGGCCTACCGGAACCAGAACTTCAGGCGCAACATTAGTACACAGTATCTCTGAATGAAGATCCCTACTCGCCCAGAACTACGGTACACACACAAGTACCGGTACTTATCGGCATAGATTTGTAAAGAGATAGATATAAAGGGGTCATACAAAGTTCAAAAATATCCTCTTCCCATTAAATACTTAATAGAAAACCATGTATCAAGGATCTATTTATTCCCTATGTATGTATCTATTTATCACTATATATCAGGGATTCATTCATGAAAACATTTTTAAATTTAAAGCAAAAAACTTTCCGAGACCCGGAGATTGGATATTTATAGAAGGCGAAAGTCATTTCAAGGAAGAAAGATTTGAGGCAAATTTGAAAGAACTGGAACATGCAATAACTTCTACTGAAAATTTTTATAAGCATGCTGGGAGTATTGAAATGGCCGATGCTTTAAATATACACAGTAAAACGCCGGAAGAATATTTTAGCGGTCTATTCAATAAAATTAGCTATCATTTTGTTAATCAACATTCATTTGCTAATTTCAAAAATTATCCGAAAGATGATAGAATTGTTTATATTGGAGGTATGCATGTTGAGGAAAATGAAAATTATTTGAGCATGGAGGATAATAAATATGTAATAATTTGTTAATTAAAAAATTTTGAATAGTAAGAGCGAGGTAAAAGTTCGATCCTGCGACCCCCTGGCGGTTATTGCTAGGCGCTTTCGCTCACCACGTACAGTTGCCCTACCGACAGCTTCCGGGACGCTGGTTTCACCTTCTCTTTTAATAAATCTTAAACCGGCTAGAGCGTTTAAAATGCTAGCCAGCAGGATCTTTCTCTTCCTTACAAAATCTGCATTTTGGTTACTCGTTTATTTTTAAGTTATTCTTGTGTTATTCGCCCCTCATTTTCCCTTTTTCCCAATTTGATCGACCATAACATTTTTATGCTTAATCCAATCCGAATAAACCTTATATCATTCTAAAGCTCTCAAGCTCTACTATTTCCCAACTGGATGAATCGAGTCGGTACTCTTGTGTTATCTCCCCCCATTTTTTATGCCCCCCTTTTTCTTCTCTTTCCTTCCTTTCTCATTGCCGCTTAAAATTAAAAAATGGTCAAAGGCAAATAATGGTCAAAGGCAATAAATTTATAAAAACAAAAAAAATGACAAAAACATTATTCTGGAGGCCAAAATTCCGCAATTTTCTTACAAATCCATTCAAAAAAATTTTCCCCTTTAGCTTCTTGTCTACACATGAATTCTGCCAAGTAACTTTCCAAGTGATGCCGCGATGTTCCCCGATGTTTTTTATTCCTCCATTTCGCAGATCCCCAAAGACGTTCGATTTTTTGCGTGTTAGCTGCAGTTTTTGGGTCAACAAAGTTGTAGCGGTGATTAACCGTGAAGTGCGAAAAACCAGCCTCAACAAGTTCGTCATGTTTGTATCCTTTCCAGCTGTCAGAAATAATCAACGTCCCAGGACTTATGTGCTTCTCAATCTCTGCCATCAACGTCTTTGCTGATCGATCTGGAACCTATAAATACCATGAAATTTGTCTAATCTATTATAAGAAGATTAACCTGAACCAAAAAACATTCATCAGATTCTCTGCATAAGCCTCCAAAGATCCATTGTTGCGGTAGGACTCTGCCTGAATTGTTTTTCCTTTTTGTGAAGAGACTTTCGTCTATCTCTACAATCATCCCATCACCTCCTAAAAACAGCTATATTTTTAAACATTATAAAAATACCGATGAATTTGTGTGGTTTGGCTATGAGGTGATCTACACAAATACACCTTAGGTAGTTATTCCAATCAACTGTTGTGTTTGTTGGATCAATTCCCAATTCTCGCTGACAAAAATTTCCGGAAGTGTATTCAAACGACCAGCAGTAGAGGAAGCGTACTATTGTAACATATGGTAAACGACTACCTTCTAACCAATTTCCGACACGCATATTTACTTCACAACGACAATTAGATTTGCGGCATCTCCATCTAACTTGCTTGCCAATGCTTAACTTCATTTCATGTCCATTTAGACAAATTTTGTTTTTTGGTAGAATGTTTTTACCCTGTAAAAATTGAATCGCATCTTCTTCATTTTGAGGAAGTTTGAAGATATTCATTTTTCGAAAACAAATTTAATAAAAATTCAAAAATGACTCCTTTCTCAGATTGAATGTCTTTTTAAATAAATTTAGTGATTGCCTTTGACCATTATTTGCCTTTGACCATTTTTTAATTTTAAGCGGCAATGAGAAAGGAAGGAAAGAGAAGAAAAAGGGGGGCATAAAAAATGGGGGGAGATAACACAAGAGTACCATCGAGTCTTTCAATCGTTCTTTAATCGTATAAATTAATTCGAAATTCATCCCGATATTTTGACATCCATTCTTCAAATCCCTAATAAATCTTCACTCTAGCACTAATTATTAGGGTACGGTTCGGGATGAACTGAAGAACCGGGGATTATTTGTTCGATTATCCGAAGATCTTTCAAGAGCCGACACCCCCAGTTTATTATACATACCGTATTTCCTCTATTAGAATGCCACCCTCTAATAAAAACCACCTTTGAAGGTGGTTGAAAAATAGAATGCCATGGCATTTTAATTGAGGAAATACGGTAGATTGTTTTAGCATATCTTTTTTTAATCTTAAAATAGAATAAATCTTTAAGTATCCATCTCTGGTTCTTGTCTCTTTCGGGACGGTTAATGTGTTTGGCGGAATGGCCATCGAGGATCTTTATTTTATGATAAATGTATTTACTCAATACAGCGATTATCAATTTAAAATAAAATTACCTCCTGGTTATGATCTACAAACTTATTCAAATATCCAAATTACTGATGAATTTATTGATCAACAAAAAATATTATGTAAATTAACATTTTTTAATTAATGATTGAACACTTTTCAGTTGATCCAAATACAAAATTTTTTATTTCGCATTGTGGACAGAACAGTTTGACTGAGGTATACATATTTAGGGATTCAATAATACTCTACAAAATCATTAATTTAAGGCAATATATGCAGGTGTTCCCTTAATTTGCATTCCAAATATGGTAGACCAATTCCTCAATGCTTCTCTTGTCGAGCATTTAGGTATTGGAATATATGTAAGTCTAGTTTGGAGAGACAATGAAAATAAAGCACATAGAAATCCTAACTTTGAAGTTGAATTCATAAATGCTGTCGCTGAGATGTTTAAAGAAGGGTAAGTTGAATATTAATTATTACTAGAATATTATGGTGGCGCAGACGAAAAATTTGGGGATTTTATAAGGTCTTACATTAGCAGGAAAATAATAATGTTTTATATTAAAATCAAAAGAAAATATAAAAAATCCTCATAATCTTCAAATAACCACAAAAATCCGCATTTTAAAAAATAATTCTCATCGACCTATCAAAAAACCACAAAATGAGGAAAAATCCGTATATATCGATGCCCTAATTTAAACTGAGGGCCATTATGAAAAACTTTTAAATTTTGATTTTAAAAATGTAAATTTATTTTTGAATATTAACAAAACGAGATACCTTAAATGCTCGAATAATTACCCTCTCTCAAATAATTACCCTCTTTAATAATTACCCCCTCCCTTTCCTTCTCTAATTTTAAAAATATTGAAAAAATCATTGTCCATTTTAAATATTGAAACATTATAAGAATCAATATCAAAAAATAAATGGATTTTCTCCTCGATTTATTGAGGTATACACCAAATTTAGCCCGTCCTCTCAATTAATTACCCCCTCCAGCGAGAGGTCGAAACAATAATTACCCAGGGTAATTATTCGAGCATATACGGTAAACTGGTTGCTTTCTCTTATACATAAATAATTCTAATAAATTTTTAAAGATATCTTTTATAGAAATAGATATCAACAAGCAATAACCGAATTGAGAGACAAAATTCTTTCAAATTACAACAATGGTTTTACAGCTAAAAATGTTTTTCTTCAAACAATTAAAAGTGTTGTTGGTGTTTAGGAAATGTGTTTTGTAAGGAAAAAGAAGACGAAACAAATGGATTTTGGAATTTTTTAAAATTTATTTTGGGGAAGGGTTATTTAACAAGAATTTTTTGGGTTTTTTGAGGGATATTAAAAGAAAAAAAATTTAAATTGGGCTAAAGATAATTTTTTGTTTGGGTTTTGTTTTAATCAAGAAATTTTTCTTATCATTTTTATGTAACTAAAATTGCTCGAGAGCGTGATGTGATGTCAAAGTCACCAGTGATGTCGAAGTTCCAAAAATTTCTCTGGAGCTAGTTCCAGTTCCAGAACTAGGTTTTTAATTTCTTTAGTTCCAGTTCCATTTCCGGCCCTACATTTTTAAAATTGCTTAGTTCCAGTTCTGGAACTAGTTCCGTAGTTCTAGTTCCAAACGAGTTCCAGATAATCGTTAGTTCTAGTTCTGGAACTGGAACTTTGACATCACTGTATGTCACTTCTAGTACGTAAATTTCATTCTAACTTCGGTTTTATTCCACGAGGATTGACATACAACTAAGATTCGACCGAAAAATTTGATAAAATTAGATTTTTAGAAAATTTAAAACTAAAAAGCCAGTGACCGGTTTTTGACATGTTTGGGAATTTAATTTATGTTTTAAACTTTTATTCTTATTATTTAAATTTAGTAAAGGATAAATTTATAGTTATATTTTGATATTAAAATTTTATATTTTGATTTATAAGTAATTTAATTAATACAGGACAAGGTTTACAATTAGGGTTGCCAAAATGGACCGACTCGGACCGACGTGCCTAGATGTTTGACCCGAAAAAGACTCGTACAGGCCCGACTCGATAAAATCAAGCCCGAAAAAAATGCCTCGACCGTCGGCCCGACTTGAAAACGGCAACCCTATTTACAATTCTAGTTGCTAACCAGTCGTTTTACAAATTGGAAATATTAAAAATTTTGGTTCTTTAAAGTTAACTTGCTTTCCAATTAGCTTCTTCATGTTTGTCTCTATTCTCCTCTAGGTTTTTTAGCCACTTATTTTTGTTTTATACTATTAGAAATTCAGGTCCCTCGCTAGCAATTCTCTTTTTATCCAGCAAAATCATGCTTCAGATTTCTAAAGGTTTTCGGAATCTTGATTTTTAATTGCTTAGTTGCACTTAATTTTAGTCAAGTTTAAGCAAAATATAAGTAAAAGAAAAGGCCAAGACGTGAACCCCAATGTACCCAGTTGTTGGTGCTTTCCTTAACTGGATAATTAAGTTGATGTTCTGTCAATGTTAAAAATTTTAATAAATTTATTTAATTAAATTTTATTTTTTGCTTTGCGACTTTAATTTAGTCGATAAAAAAATTTTTTCTCTAACTTCCTAAAGGAAGTTAGAGAAAAAAAAATTTATTTAAAAATATTACACGTGTTAAATATAAAGACATGTCCATGGGGAGGGGGTATTGCTTGGCAGGTCCTTATCATTCACTTAGTGAAGGCAGCTCGGCTATAGCTATTTCTCTCCCTCGGCTAGTCAAACGGTTATTCGGCAGCTGGGAGGAAAACCAGCATCTTTCAGCACATTTATTTATTTGTATAAATTTATAGTACGGTATCTTCTATGTATACCAAAGACTTCTTTATTTACAGTCCGGCTTTTTAGGATAATTGAAAAATAGAGACACCTTCTACTTATAATACAGCCCTAGTCTGCAGAACTCTGAGCTGTATAGGAGGGTATTTTCTATGATAAATATTCCTAAGCCTTAATTAAATCGAAAATTGACAGGATATCCATATTAAAGTAGATCAGGAAAACGGATTTGCATATGGAGGATATAAGATGAAAATCCTTTAAAGAACATTTATCCCCTATCTTTTCTCCGAACTTTTTTTTATATTCTAGAATAATACCCTACCATCATCTTTCTATTTATTTAACATATATTCCTTAATTTCAGAAAATGTATTATTTTAAATTAATATTTTACATTTTCTTTTTGTTAATTTTCATCAACATTTCTGGTGGAAAACCTAAAGAAAAAAATAATTTATTATCCCACCGTCGCTGTAAGAGGGGTAATAATTTTGGCCGTTGTTTTGGAGGTGGAAGTAGAAGAAGGTCTGATCAACCATTTAGGCAACGTGAAGGAAAGGCACATGCAGTAGAGGAAGAAACTGAAATTAAAGAGGAAATTTGAAGAAAAGAGCTTTGTATATTTTCGATAACTTTTTCTACTCTCACGTTCAATTACATGTAAATATTTTTTTAGTTTAGCTACGTATATAAAATCTAATGGAGGATTATAAGTAATCTCTACACGATCTACCTCGGTGTCGTGTCCTTACAGAAAGAATATATAAATGAAAATAAATAACCCATCATCGGGTTGGATTGTGGCACAATGGTTGTGCTTCGGTTTGGACTAGATCTTTGCCGGAAGTACTTAGTGAATGCCCTTTCCAGTTCTGTCACTGTTCAGAGAAATAAGGAGAAGACACTGTGAGTATCGCCTGAGCTGTGTGCGGGCAGAAATTAAAACGTAGGTGCAGCTAGAGCGTAAGACTCTGCGTGAGCAGCTAGATAAGTGTAATACATAAAATCCAAAAATTTTTAGTTAAATCTTGCCAAGGCTTTATCTGAATACTACATTGTGGTGAGTTATTTAAATAAATGACTTTTGATATCCAAAGTGGGTTTGATCATCCATCCACTATCCTGTCTTAATAGATTATTCACTTTTAAAATATTTTTATCGATGTTGGTACCCACAGAAGTTTGCGGGTATTGTAAGGTTGAAGACCTATTCAACTAATAATTTATTATAATATTCTATGAAGGCTATAAGGGCTCTAAATTTAAAATATTTCATAGAAATATGAAAAAAAATAATTTACAGGATATACTTGTTTATACTAAAGAAAACGGTGAACCTGTGGAGCTAGACCCAATGCCAAACGATTTACAAATTATTCAATTGAATATAGACAGAAAACATATACATAAGGGAGAAGTTACTAAAAAATCTTATCTCGATTTTAAAGGTTCAATAAAGTATGTTGCTGGGATTTTTGAAGGTGAGATTGATAATCCTTATATGTAGTTTTCTTACTTTTCTTTAATTTTCCAATAATGTCGTTGGTGAGTCTCAAATCTTTTTGTTTACTTTGCTAGTGTGGCATGATGTCCTTTGTCCAAGGGAGGAATAAATGAAGGGGTATGCCCTCCTTTATCCGAGGAAGGAAAAGAGGGGGGGGCCTCCTTTGTCCGAGGGCTTGTCTGAGATTTACAATGTCGGTGAACACAACGATAACAAAGTTATAGTTTAGGCGAGGAAGTGAATTATGACATGAATTATAGCAAAGTTAGAATTCAGACAAAGTAGATCAGGAACTGGCCGAGCTAGTGGCCGAGCTAGTGGCTGAGCTAGTATGATCCACCAAAATTGCTAAAAACCACGGGTCCGATCGCGGGCAGTTTTGTTGTGCATACCTAATTTTTTTACTCTGACATGAATATTAATGATTTTAATTTTAAGATTTAATAAATGATGTAAATCTTAATTATCTTAATCAACAAAATTATTCCTTTGGAATTGCCGATTTTCATGAAAATGCTGGCTCTTTTGCTATTTTTGAATATTTGGGAATTGAAAAAACTTTTAATGTTTTTCCCTTTCTTATTCTTCCTGATTTTCTTCAATTCTTTGGAGTTAATCTTTTACAACAAATTCGTAAAGATTTTGTTATTCCAGGTAATTTGTGGTAAAACTGAAAACCCTTAAAAATTACTTGTCAAACTAATCTAAACTCAATAATATTTTTACAAAACGATCCAAAAGGAATTCATTTAGGTATATGTTACAAAATATTAGGGTGTAACATAAATAATTAGCCCCCCTTTATGCTAAATGGATTCAATATTTTTTTAAAATTCAACTAATTGTTTTCAGACTTGAAATAATATTTTTCTATGATCCTAAGATAGGTGGCTATTTTCTGGCAAAAAATCAGAATCCTCGGATTAAGTTGGCAGGAGTTAGAGGTAAAATACTAAAACTTGTATTTTTGAAACAAGACAAC